CCCCAAAACCCCAAAACCCCAAAACCCCAAAACCCCAAAACCCCAAAGAAGAGCAACATATTGAAATGAAAAGAAATTATTCATTTTATAATATTTAAGGTTAAAAATGTATTCACAAATGAAAATACTTCACCCGAGTAAGCCAAGCTTATATTTTGAAGACCTAAGAAAGCTTTGAACGAGTTGGGAAAAGCTTAAGACCTACATTTTGATTTTAGATAACAATTTTTTGATGTTTACAATAGAAATTGTGGCTCAATCTTGAATTTTGAATAAATCTGCATTATAGGCACCTCAGTAATAGAGCCAAAAAGTCAGATACCTGAAATTTGAAAGTCAAAATCTCCTGAAAGAAATAGAAGCATTAAGAAAATTGCATCTGATTGTGCAAGTCTAGGTCCAGACAAGCCTTATGATTCCAACCGACTATAGGTAAGAATTAGCTTATTTTACCATTAATAGCTTGTAACCCTTTAAAATCCCATTCAAGTCAAGATTACTCCAAAAAGGTAACTCACCGAATAACATCTAAAGGATTCCTACAATTATGAGGAAAAGGCTGTACTGAGCCATAATTCAAGATACTCCAAGAGACTAAGCCATCAAAGAGATTCATTCACAAAAATGAACTTTGATATGAATCTTCGAGGCAAAGCTGGCCCTGGATATATTCAATCAGTTATTGGTCGCAACAGCAACTACGAGAGCCTGAACCAATATATTAAAATGAGTATGAGCAAGAAGTTAGATGATAGCAGGATCGACCTTGCTAGGTCTATAAACAACTCTGACTTCAAAAAGCCTATTGGCATCAATAGAAAATCAAAGGTAAGGAAACTTAATAGCATATAACAATTTATCATAGGATGCAAAATACGGAAGAGAGTTTGAACATAAAATGCCTAGTTTTAGCCAACATTTTGCCTCTAATACACTCAAATCTAATAAAAGCAAGCACCTCACCAATGACTCAGGTGAGAGCATACATCCAGGTAGCTTCAATCAAAAAGAGAGGTATTTGCAAGATAAATTTTTAGAAAAATTTCAAATCTTGACGACTCTGATTTTGACCCAATGCTCGTTAAAGGGAAACAAAATTTACCAATCAAAAAGCATGTTGGGACATTGGGTCAAATAGCCCAAGAGATTCCAAAGAAGTACAGTAAAGTTATCAAGAAGATTCCAAAGTACTCTAGTTATTGCTCAACTTATAGAATTAATAGCTTAAGTAATAATCACAGTTTGATCAGAAAAGTCAGCCACTCCATTAATTCTGAAGATAGTAAGAAATTTAGCTAATACTAGCTTATAAAAACATTCATGAAATGGAAGCTCAAAATGCAGCCATTCCCAAGAGCTACAGAATTGCTAAGATTGGGTACGAAAATGAGCATGTTAAGGTGAGAGAGAACCACTACAACGATGGAATAACTGACTTCCCCTACTCAAAGGTATATTCACTTGCTCAGTCCTAGGGAAATTCAGATAGAACCTCCCAAAATCTAGCTGATCTAACAAGGAATAGCTCAAATATCTCTGAAAAATAATTGTAATTTCTTGGTTTATTTTAAAGTCTTTGGATATCACACACTTGAAAATAAAATTAAGAACCCAAATATTCTCAGATATCCTGGTGAAAACTACGAATCCAAGATAACTGCTCACATAGATCACTCAATGACTGAAAATACGGATATGAGGAGCAAGCATAACCCAAGTAAATTGTCTAATTCGGCCTCAGAGGTTGAAAGTCCAGCTCAAAGGTAAGCCAGAACAGGCCTGACTGTCTCCCTAGTTCATAATATTCAAAACTATAGGAACTATAACCCAGGAAGAATCACTGACTTTTACACAATGTCAGAGATCATCATCGGGAAAGGCTCTTATGCAGTAGTTAAGATGGGATTCAAAAACCCTACTGCTGGCACAAGTTCTTCAGAATGCAAATAAAGTAGCCATCAAGATATACAACAAGGCAGTTATAAAGAAATAAGCAAAAGAGAGGTAGCGTTGACCAAGAGATAAACGCTTTGTTCAGGTAAGCATCTTAGTCACCTGCACATAGCCTCAACCACGAAAATATAATCAGGCTTTATGATGTATTCCAGGACGATCTCTGAATATACCTAGTCACTGAATACATTGATGGGGAATCTCTTCTCTCCTACATGAAGAAGAAACCAAACAAGAGATGAAGCATGGAAGTAAGCAGAGAGCTCTTCAAGCAAATAATCAGTGGGATCTCCTACTGCCACCAGCAAGGATTTGCACATAGAGATATTAAACTTGAAAATATATTGGTCACCAAACTAGAAAACAAAAAGAAAATGGCTCTTGAAATCCCTCTTGTTAAAATTATTGATTTTGGATTTGCAGTTCAGTACCAAATCGGAGAAAAGGGGACCACTTATTGTGGAACTCCAAACTACATGGCTCCTGAGCTTATTAAGAAAGAAGAATTTGACTACGAACTCGTTGATGTCTGGGCCCTTGGTGTCCTATTTTACTCTCTTTTAACTGGTCTCTTCCCGTTCAAAGGAGCAAGCAATAAAGATATGTTTTCAAGGATAACTAAAGGGAATTATATCATCCCAGAACGAATCAAAATTGGTCCGAAAAGACTCATTATGAAAATGCTCCAGGTCAACCCAGAGCACAGAAGTAAATTAAGAAATATCACTGGTAAGATTAAGTACTAGTATAGACAAATGGCTGATGCAAGACACAGAAGAGAAAATCCAGGAGCACAAACTCAAGAAAAAGCAATTGTAAAATTCCTTTCTCACCATTATAGATTTGACCAACTCCAGTAAAATTCCCTACTAAAACCTCTCTAGCAGCAGTGTTATTAATATAAAATAAGCTCAACGGGACTACTCAGGACATACCTCTCCCAGCCAGCCAATTTTTAAAGAAAATCAACCGATCCGAAGTAAGCCCCCCTATCAATCACTCTAGAAGCCCCTAAAAATCCCTCCAAACGGTGCCTACATAAAAAGCTACTTCACAGATCAGTACTCTCCAGCGACCAGCACCGAAAACAACAAGCTGCCACCCATCAATCGGAAGCCCGCCAAAGTGCCTCCAAGAGGGAGGTGATCCTCCCTCGGAAACACCATTGCGCCATACTAATTGTTATTAGTCAGCCTGAAGAGATTTACTGGGGTTTTGGGGTTTTGGGGTTTTGGGGTTTTGGGG